GTGTGTTATTGTTTTCGTTACTGCTGCGGTTTTTGTTGTTGTTGTTGTTGGTGGTGTCTTTGTTGTTGTTGTCTATGTTGTTGCTGTCTTTGCGCTGCGAAGAGCGAAATGCTCACAGCTAAAGGGATTTGAAAACAACATGATGTTGTCGTTTTGATGCTGGTTTTGTTTTGATGTTGTTGTTGTTGTTGTTGTTATTGCTGCTCTTATTGAAAATGGTGCTGTTGTTTTTCTTCTTTTTGGTGGTGACAGCGGTTCCCGTAATGGTTGTGGCATTTTAATTTGTAAAACTTAAATTAAAAAATAGTCTGAAAACTTAAGTATGGTGAATGAAAATTACTCTTTAAAGACTTGTCGTTATTTTCTGTCTCTACTTAGAAAGTATTTTTGAAGCGGATTGAAAGAGAATCAACATCTGAGAGTCACAAGAACTGTTTAAATCCCAGCTATAAACATGACTTGATTTCTTGGGTGTTGTTACAAGAAAGTTGGACCCTTGTTGCACTCTGTGGGCAGAAGGAGAGACACAACACGTCATGACATGTTTACGGCTGAAATTGATCACCTGAGGCTGAGGAAGAAGGAGTGGGTGTTTACGCCGGTGATAGGAAAGATATAGAGTAGAGAGATGTGGATTTCCAGGAGCTCAAAAGAATTCCCAGAGAAGTCGTTTGTTTTTGTTTTGTTTTGTGGGATTGATCAAGTTTTTAATTTTCAAATGGAGTTTTCATTCGTTGTGTTTTTGCATATTTTGCTTTTGTTCGTGTTTCTTTCTTATGTAGTTGTTTTTGTCTGTTGCGGGGCTAGTTATTGTTTTCGGTGCTATTGTTGTTGTTGTTGTTTCTGTTGTTGGTGGCGTTTTTGTTGTTGCTGTTGTTGTTGCTTTTGTTGTTGTTAAAAGTGGTGTTATTGTTGGTGAACGTGATATTGTTAATAGTGGTGGCGGTATCAGTGCTTTATTTTGAATTAAAATAGTCGAAAATATACGTTGGGGGAAGGAAAACTACAGTTTAAAGAGAATCCAATTTATAAAAGCTGTAAGAACTGTTTAAAATCCCAGCAGTAAACATGACTTGATTTCTTGAGCATTGTTACAAGAAAGTAGGACAGTCTCTGAAGTTCCCTTGTTGCACTCTGTGAGCAGAAGGAGAGACACAATACGTCATGTGTTTATGATTGAAGTTGATCACCTATGGCTGATCTCCAAAGCGGAATGTCCAGGTTCGAGCCTCTGTTCGGACACATATCTTTTTCGCCCCCTCCTGCCCACCCAACAGTAATGGGTACCTGACTTCGAGTTGGGAAAGTAAAGGCGGCGTGGAAAGGAACTGGCCACCCTACCACAATATGCCGAAGGCCCAGGAAGTTGTCTCACTAACAAGGCAATCCCCAATGTGCGGATCGGATGCAGGAACAACTTTACTTTTTTATGGGTAAGGAAGAAGGAGTGGGTGTTTACGCCGGTGATAGGAAAGATATAGAGTAGAGAGATGTGGGTTCCGAGGAGCTCGAAAGAAGTTCCCTCGGAAGTAGTTTGTTTTTGTTTTGTTTTGTGGGATTGACGGTGAAAGTGATGTTGTTTATAGTGGTGGATTTCGGGGATTTCCAGAAATCTTGACCTACACCAAAAGTGAGCATTGCCCTACCTAAAGGTGAAGTTTGGTTTCATTGGTGTGTATATGTGTTCGGTTATAGAGAAACCTCTCCTCGTCTTTTAAGGAAAGTGATCAAGGGGCAAAAACTTTACCTTCGATTTTCTCAAAACAGTATTTTGGGGATAGCCCCCTTGTACTTAAAAGTGACCATGTAGGATTCCCCAAGTGGTATGCAGCAAACTCACTGAACAGAACAGCTGGTTGTTGGTGGGGGCTCTTGTGTGGTTTGCTCCTTCTTTCCTACCAAACATCTATTGCCCTTTTCTGTCATCCACTTTTGTGTTTGTTACTCTCATGTAACGCATCAAATCTTCTGCACTTATATGACCTTATTGTGCTGCAAGCGCTGTAAAACTCTCACTGTAAAAAGGCAAAAAACAAGAAGAAAGAGTCAAAACGCAGTTTCTGTGACTCTTAAATCAAAATAAAGCCTTTGATCATCTTGCTATTATGGAAGAAAAGAAGGCAAACGAAGCAGGGGTCGACTCAGAACAGCTTACTTGGAAAACATCAATGGATGACGGGGAAAAAAGGCCAGGACAATACTGATTCGTCGAGAGCATCCAAGCAAAGAAATGGATGGAGAACCATGATCACCACTGTGTGTCTCCGATTTCTCACTTTATGGTGGTTGTCTAGCAGATCATCAATACAAACTCAATATTTTCATCGTATATAGTTGGGGTTTTTTCGTTTTTTTTTGTTTGTTTGTTGTTTATTTGGGAGCGCCTGTTTATTTTGTCTACGTTTTCGCTTTGTTTTTGTTTTGTTTTTTGGGGGGTTATTTTTTTACTTTTTGTGGAAAGGTTGTAATCAGACACCATAATTGGTCTCATCGTACACAGACTCCAGCGACCTGGACGCCAAGGCAGCAGAAGTGGCCTCTATGTTGGCCGCGACCAACCGGAACCTGGACCAGGACGAGGGCACGGGCATGCACGTACCCCTGGCGGTGCAGGGGAAGAGGTGAGTGGTCTGTCCTTGCTTAACTCATTATTTACTTACTTTACTGTATCCGTCCTCTTGTACCTCTAGGGCGTCGAGGGGAGAAAGAGCTCACTGTCTCTATAAATTCTGATGGCCTGGCTGGATGGGATATTGTATGTGCTCATGGTATTCTTCACACCCTGGATCCAGGTCTTTCTTGGGCCTCCTCTTGCCTTGTACCCTGATACTTTTCTGTTGTATGCTTTACTGGCAATCTGGTTAGGATCCCTAACTGTGAGATGTCCAAACCACCTGATTGTTTGCCTTCGAATGTGGTTGTTCCCATCATTTATAAAGAAAACTCTCCTTGTCTTTTATAGAAATTGAACAAGGGTCCAAAAACGTTATCTTCGATTTGTTCAAAACAGCATCTTTCGGGATAGCCCCTTTGTGCTTTAAAGCGACCATTTATATCCTGCGCTCCGTTTTCTTGTATATCAGACTGCATGTCTTTCTGTTTATGCAAGTATATGTGATTGAACGTGTATCATTATGATTTGTGTGTTCTTACTTGTTTGAGAATGTTCTTCTCATTTCAGAGGAAAGTCGACTCTGATGAGCGAAGATTCGCTCATGAAAGCACAGGATTTCCAGGTGAGTTTTTTACCATACAGTATTTTCTCTCAATTCACTTCTATCTATCTATGTATCTATCTATCTATCTATGTATCTATCTATCTATCTATCTATCTATCTATCTATCTATCTATCTATCTATCTATCGATCTTTCGACCTGTCTATCTATCTATCTATCTATCTATCCTATCTGTCTATCTATCCATCTATTTATCGATCTATCTATCTATCTATCTATCTATCTATCTATCTATCTACCGATCTGTCTGTCTATCTAACTATTCGGGTGTCCGCCCATTTTTTATCTATGAGGCTCTCTGTCTACGATTCTGTCTCTATAACTTGGGCACATTTTTTAGTATAGCCAAACAGGTACTTTTCTTGTTTTAAACATTTCCTCACGGGTTTAAGACGCCCAAACAAATAGCCCGAAACATTAACAAAACCAGCTTCTGTGATGTTACCTGTAGTCATCATTATATTTTTTTTCATCTGTGTAAGTTATATATTATGTATTGTAATATATTATATATTATATTTGGCGCTCATATGACCTTATGCAGTTGCGAGCGCCGTAAAACCTCTACTAAAAAAAGGATATTATATTATTTCTGTGCCCAGGTCTGCGTAACAATCATCGAAGCCCGACAACTCGCAGGTTTGAACATGGACCCTGTGGTTTGTGTCCAGGTCGGAGATCAGAAGAAGTACACCAGTGTCAAAGAGTCCACCAACTGTCCCTACTACAACGAGGTGAAACCTGATAATTCGTTTGTTGTTATCATGATTTAGCATGTAAAAGTAAAGTTGTTCCCGTATCCGATCCGGACATTGAGGATTGCCTTGTTAGTGAGACAACTTCCTGGGCCTTCGGCATAATTATTGTGGTAGGGTGGCCAGTTTCTTTTCGTGCCGCCTTTACTTCCCCAACTCGAAGTCAGGTGCCCATGATAGTACTGCTGGGTGAGCAGGAGGGGTCGAAAAATATCCGATAGCTGGATAGCTTTGCTCCCTACCCTGGAATAGTTTATGGAGTATATTTCTTTGCGTAATATCACCTCATGACGCCGATATCAAGGGCCGAATACTTAATAATAATAATAATAGATAGCATTTGTATAGCGCAAATCCCCGCTCAACAGCAAGCTCTATGCGCTTCACAATCTATACTATTGCCCCAGTAGACCTGAGAGCATTCTGAAATAGCCTCAACAACTGGGAAGCATACAGTGCAAGCAGCCATTTATAGGCGCTAAAACACTAATATACTGACAAGATCTTTTGCTGTCTATGGACGCTACCCATTCCCACCAGGGTGAAATGAGGAAACTTCGTGTAAAGCGCGTTTCCCAAGAACACTATGTCGGGCCCGCGGCTCGAACCCCCGAACCCGCAACCTCACGATTACGAGTCCGGTAGTCTAACCACAAGGCCGCCGACGTCACAAAAGAGGCTTATAATGCCAGTGCAAGTGTGACTGATATCCAGATAAGTCATTTTGATGGTGTTGCCACTATTCACATTGAAACTAAGTCTTGTGGTGTCGTTAGCCTAGTGGTTGGGCTACCTGACTTGTAATCAAGATATTGCGGGCTCGGAGATTCGGGGTTTCGAGCTTCAGCTCGGTTGGACGTTGTGTCCTTGGGAAAGGCACTTTACATGAACTTCCCACTTGGCTCGGTCCTCTCGGAGAGGGGCGTTAAACTCAGAGGTCTCGCCTCCAGGGTCGAAGGCTGACTTGTTTGACAGAGTAATCAAAGTGAGATGGGACCAGATAGGGCCTGGAGATATCACACTCACACAATTCACAAGAATCTTACTCGCACTGGAGGCGGCAACTTAGAGTTGTGAATGAAAACAAACCCTGAATTCATGTTGTATGCATGTTCAACCGCTAAAATAATCGGGAAAGTAGTTAATTAAATATTTATTCTAACTAACCTTAAATTTAACTTAAGATTTGAACACACGAACACCAAGGAAAGAAGCAGAGATGTCAGTACTACAACGGCATGTTATACCAGACAGCCGAAACACTTTGGTAGAGCATGCCAATTATTACTTTTTTATTTCACATTTGGCTGTTTTTTGTCTAGCTTTTCGCGGCCAGGAGCCGGTGTCATAATCGAGGTCACGATCTGATTATAAGACGTTAAAAAGTCGAGGAAAAAAAACAAGCACTCGCAGCAGTTAAGATATTATTAGGAGTTAGTTCCCCTCACATCTGTGAGGTAGACTCGACCAGTGTAATAATTGGCTTACATAATCAGAGAGTGTGGTTGCTTATAACTGTAGCTCGAAAGGGGTGAACAGGGTATATGCGGAAACGAAACAGTTTTGACTGCTATGCACATGTTCCCTTCAACTCTATTGGTAGACTCTTCCAGCCTCACTTTAAACTTACTTAATCAAAGCTTGTGACTGCTTATGGAGTGACCCGATAGGGGCGAACAGGCTATTTCTGTGGCAATGAAACGGTTTTGAAGGTTAGGCATAGTCTATTGTTCATTGGTGATTATGAACGTCTTTTTACATGTAATTTATGAGGTTTACGTCTATGATTGAATTTGACTGCGACAATGTTTCAAAATTAGGAAAGGAAGCAGTGATTATTTGATTATATAGACGCTTCGCCTTTGCTCGCCTCTACGGGACCGTGGACGAGTATACGCGCGAAGGTTGACCACAGCATAGAGGCACATTTTCTTAATAGTGCAGTGAAGTTTTATGTCTAGAACTTGCCTAGGGGCTGAGATATTCACATGAGTGTACCACAAATCTCGCAGAGTCATAAAGCAGGCGGCACCTCTCGTCCTTGGGAACTGAAAGCCAAGTGTGAGGCCGGTCCTGTAGGTGTTAACCTAACAGTGTTAATAGAGGATACCTATACCATTTCACCATTTTTTTCACTCAAATTGTCACAGCAAAAATCTGCAGTTGCTCCGTCAGGGCGATATTTGTAATCAGGCAATTGCTTTGAATAAAAATAGTACCTTAATGAAGCAGATATAAATTCTTTCATTTAAGGTTAGCTAATGTATGGTCGCTGTCCCACACAGAACGGATCTTGAATATGGTCAGTAGTGAAAACGGTTGACGGAATATCACCTGTTGAAATGCTCAGGTTGCTTTTTAACTGTTGTATTGAAAAGCGCTCAGAGCCCGTGCACTTTAATTTGAGTTGAGCACTCCAAATGTGTCGTGTAGCATTAATTATTATTATTATTATTATTATTATTATTATTATTATTATTATTATTATTATTATTATTATTATTATTGCTGTCGTCCTCCTCGTTGCTGTTGTTGTTGCAGTTGTTGTTGTTGTTGTTGTAATTTTCACTTGAGTATCCACATGGAAATCAAAATATGGCATGTTCCTTTTTTTTTTCTTCTTCTCTATTCAGTACTTCGTCTTCGACTTCCACATGCCACCCTTGATGCTGTTTGACAAGATCATCTCATTAACAGTAAGTGCTCACACATACTAAAGTACCCAGTCACTGTGTCTGACTGGCTTATACATAATTTATGGAACTGACAAGTCAGTACGCCCTGGTAGTAATGTGGGTGGTTTGCAGGTGCTCTGGAATGGTTTGCTTCTTCTTTCTTATCAAACATCTATCGTCCTTATCTCTCCTCCTTCTTTTTTATGTTTGTTGCTCTCTTGGAACACCTCCAATCTTCTGGCGCTCATGTGTTGCAAGTGCCGTAAAACTCTTACTAAGACTAGAACAATCTATTGTCTTTGGAAGGACAATGACCTGAGTCTGTGGAACACTGACTTGGCTCATTGTCTTGCTCTCAAATGACAGTTGTTTGATGGGGAAAATAAGTTATTTAGTACATTCTTCTTGCTCTCGGGATGTGATGTGCCAGTCACACACAAAGACACACACAAAGACACATACAAAGACACACACAAAGACACACACACACACACACATACACACACATACACATACGCATACACATCCACCGCGCTCGGGCACACATACATCACATCCTCAGTTTGCTGTGTTTCAAAATAGAAGCATTCTGTTGTCTGCATTATCAGTCAAAATATTTATTAACACAATTTTGAAAGCGAATAGGTTTAAAAAAGATAAGGAGAATAATTTATTGGACCTTCTTGGAAGTCAGTAAAAGCTCATCGGATTTCAAATTAAGTTCATTACAGTTTCTGAGGCGTGTCGAAATGCTTGGGAACAGGAACTTGTATTAAGCTCAGCTACGTCATCGGCACTCCAAATTAGAGTTGCAAATTTTTAAGATAATAATAGATAGCATTTGTATAGCGCAAATCCACGCTCAACAGCAAGCTCTATGTGCTTCATAATCTATATTGTTACCCCAGCTGACCTGAGAGCATTCTGAAACAACTCCAACTTCCTGGGAAGCATACAGTGCAAGCAGCCATTTATAGGCGCTAAAACACTAACATACTGACAAAAGACATACTTTTGAAAGACAGCTGTACACCTTGCGGTACGGACATATTATTATTAGGCCTTGCGTCAAGAGAAAAAAAACAACACATACTATGTTTCTGGTTGAATTCCACCCACCCTCTCTTGCAGCATGTATCTCGATCGCAATTTCTATTTTGTCTCTTTTTGTCCAAGAGCAAAGATGAACGAACAAGTTTCAATGAAGGTGTAAAAAGAACTTTAACTTCTTTCAGTGACGTTATAAATTAAAAGGTCTTATTTTTTTCGAAATTACGTGAATTACTTGAATGTAGAACTGGGGTCGTAGGAAGACGGGGTGCTCTATGCTTCCTCACCCCTCTTCATGAGGGTCCATTTCATTGGGGGCGGATGTATTCCCTAAATCTATTATTTATTGACTTAGACGGATTACTCTATGGTGCACGCACTCTGGTAGTTTGTCTGGTGTAAATGTCTTTCAGTCTGCATCTCAGTAAATGAAGTAGACGTTCCATATCCCACACCTTCATGTTGCGTGTTTATTGTGAATTATTTTTCGTCTTAGATTTTGTTGGTCCACTACATTGTTAAGTTTCAATAAGACAGCTTTAGTGTGTTTTATAATAATATATAAATACTAACATGAGAGTACTTTTTAAAGGTAATGAATGGCTATAGCTCTGAAAACTGTCTTAACACAGTGTTGTTCTTATGAGAGACCACTTTCTCGGTATTTGCTTTTTCTGCAGTAGATTTGAAATGCGGGTCTTGCATAGTTTGATATAATGCGTCTGTGAATTAGTTGTCCAATTTCTGAGCAACTAATACCACATTTATATTCAGGATCTTATAGTATAGATATGATGTGAATTTCAGAGCGTATCTAAGTTTCGTGATTTGTTTTAAGGCTGTATTTGCAAATGATTATTATACAAGAATTAATTTGTTGAGTAGTGATTTTAACCACACGAGTTATGTCCCTATTTGACGTCGTATGCTATGCATCTGACTGTGCGTGCACGTAGATAACAAATAACACACCAAGTCGGACGTTGTAGTGTCTGGCGGAACGTCCTAGTCACCACTTACTAATCGCATTCACACAATGCCCGTTTTGTTTGTTAGTATATGTGGGTAACATACAAAGATTTTGTTTGTCATCTCATTGAAGATATTTGGCATCAGTATTCATGAGGAGACATTTATTCTTGAATTATTTATTCGCCAAAAAGTGCAAGATGTGATGAGCTCCAACGCACGGGACATATTATATTTAGAAAAGGAATATATCATATTCTATCGTTGCCTCTAAAGGGTGAATAACCTATCTGGACTCGACCTCAAAGACAGCAATGTCTCTTTGTTCAGCATAAAAGAGCGATAGCCCAACATTGTTGGCCATGAACGTGAAAATATGTTTCATACATGTAGTAGATAAACTACTTAAAGAGCATAGATTTACTTGCAAACACTGGCGAATGAACAATTTAAGGGATATAGATTTACGAACAAACATTGACAAATAAACACAAGCCTTTTGTTCTCCTCTTTGCAGCTTAATTAGTTTATTTGTCATGTGTGAGCACTGGATGCCTTGACCGCAAAAATAACACTTAGCTGTATATTGTAAATGTTACTTGATCTGACTGTTCAGCACTTTCTAATGTGTGGAAAATGTAGCTCTTTAAATCTTACTCAAGATATTATTATTTGAACGTATATCTAGCACTATGTTATTCATTGAATGATTTATGTATATGTAATTTACGTACTTATCTTACATTCTAGGCTTTTTTTTATTTTTTATTATTATTATCAAAGTGCATATTCATTCAATAATATGAGTATTTGGAAACGTTGTACTTTGTAATGACTAATAATTGGTTTTCCTTTTTGGGAAACATTTGTCTTTTTACTTTGCATTGATAAATGCCGACGCGTGGGTCGTTGTGTTCTTAGGGAATTGCATTCACAAGTCAGGGGCTGCGTTATACAGAGAAAGGTGGGGAGGGGGGAGGGGGTGTCTGTGTTTAGCCGATGCTTGTAAACTGTCTGATATCTTCGTCATTTGAAAAGACAGTGTGAAATGATTTTATTTAGATGCCTCAATCGTGGGGAAGGGGGGGGGGCGGGAACAAACCAATAGTATGTGATGAAATTGGTCCTACTTATTACATTTCTTTAAAAACTGAGTGAACATTTCACGGTTTGTATCACAAACTAAGTAAGTTCAAAATCAAGTAAGCTATACTTGGCTTCTCAAACCTCACATTCATGTGTAAAAATGTTTTACATTTTAAAACAGGTTTGGGAATAGGGACGAATTCAACTCTACTTGATCAACACAAAGTGTTAGTTAACCTTATCTGTACGTCGTGTTTTACTATCGTATCTATACGACGTGGGGAACTCTGTGCCACCACTTTCCAAAGAGGAAGTTTACTCGTTAATCCGTACGCTTTGCGTAGCAGTTTGTCAAATTGATTTTTTTGAGAAATAATGAAATTTTCAAAGAGATCTTTGCTCTAGAAGTATTCTCAAATGTGAAGAATACAGCCCCTGGGGTACAAAATGACCTCAGGGCCTACGGATAGGGTTAAACAAAGAAGTTGTGTGAGTTGTGAAGCCCCGAGTATCTAGATAGAGAACGTTAAATGGACTTGAACCTGGGGTGTAGTTGAATATCCTGGTGAGTTCACCACGTACAACACGCTTGACTTTTGGGGATACAGGTAGTGGCAAATGACCCTAAAAGGATCGTGGGGAAAAGGGGGCAAGACAAAGACAGCAATCAAAATACTAGATTGCGAGTGAATAAAATGTAATATTATATTTTTTTAAAGTATATATATAAATATATAATATGTGTGTGTGTGTGTATGTGTGTGTATGTGTGTGTGTGTGTGTGTATGTGTGTGTGTGTGTGTGTGTGTGTGTGTGTGTGTGTGTGTGTGTGTGTGTGTGTGTGTGTGTGTGTGCGTGCGTGCGTGTGTGTCACTTTAAAGAAACGATACTTTTAAACTCAGATTGCTGTCGGTGTGCTTCACAAATTTTGAAGCAAAAACAAAAAGAATTTAAACTGTTTAACTGCTCTTATTTTTCGATATAAACAATTATAAAAACGTACTGTCCGCCCTTGTATTGATTATAACTTCAATAGAGCTCCAATTGCAGAGTAAAAAAAGTGTTTGTTTCTTTAGATTTAAAAAAAAAACAATCTGTCTCGCAATACATCATCCCGTTAATTTCATCCATGGCGTTATGAGCTCATGCTTGAGAACTGGCACCTGCCTGCATGGGTAATCGTAAACATCCGGGTGACTGTGACCTGAAATGCCTTCGACATTTTTACGAAGATTCTCCACGTCTCAAATTCTGAGAATGGGGTGAACTAAATAATTAACTGTTGGGTTGGGTATGCATATATTACATAGACCGAGTGCCAACCAACCCCTCCAAATAAAGAGGTTTCTGCGGAGAATACATTGACATGGAAAATGTATTAGAAACGCTACGGCGTCAGGTTGATTACGATAGGGAATCAATGTCCTTTCAAGATCAGTGGCTCGAGACGACAGCAGGGGCCATCCAGGTAGGTGGCCGTCCCTGATTGCGAAGATGATTAATTTTCAGCATAGCGTGACGTACATTTGTACATAAGAAAATATAGGGGGAAAACTGTGATGAACCTTATGCCAAATTAATTCACCCTTGCATTTTTAAATTGCGTTGAATTCGTTAGGGAATAAGTTTTCATGCCACATTTGACAACTGTATTACAGCCTTTTCCTTTCGTCGTTTTGCTGGGCATCAGAGACAGGGATTATAGAAACGAAATTAAGTTTTTTAAACATTCAAAGTTTGGTTATGATGAATTTGACCAAAGCTATCTAAGAGTCTAGAGATAAAAACTTCAAATTCAATTTCAAAATTAAGTCTGAAATTACGTATAGAGTGCATACAACTCAAAAAGTGTTACACATACACCCGTACATATTTTCCACGTTGGTGCGATATGGTATTATATAATTATAATTGTA